ATGGTTGTAAAGGTGTATTTGCAAGGCTTCAGGAGTCTGAAGTTGTCGATGTGAGAATGGAAATAAATGCAGCATCACTAATTTACTCTGATCCTGAAAGAGGCTCTGGTGGCTCCAGATAATGACTAATGATAGTCTTTTCAAAATGCTTGTTGATTGCTGTGGACAGCAGCCAGGGAGTAATATCTGATTGCCCTGATGCCAAATTCATTTGGTGCTGCAGCCTTTAGAAAAAAAAAATAAAAATCCATGTTCTCTAAAAAATGTGCCATTTGGAGCACTGCGGTGATTGGGCAAGATAACTGGAGTGCCTGAAAGAAGTGAGAAAACTGTGCTTCTGTCTGGTCTGAGCTACCTTCTAAATCTCCTTATTTGAATTAATAAACTGTGCTGAGGTAGATGTCTGAAAAAGGCTCCAAAAACTCTCATTTAGGTTAATAGAAATATTTAAAATAATGTAAAATTTCATTATTTTATATTATCTAGATTCTTTAGAGTGAGAATATGGATTGTACCCATTTTAGTGTTGGGGCCAGGTTACACACAATAATTATCTATTTTTAATGCTTTTCAGTAAAACAGTAACAATATGACAGAAGATTTGTTAGTTCTTCATTTGGACTTGCACTTCATTCTTAACTTCTCAATTGCACGCATGATTCATGAAGGCTCTGTTTTGCAGAGTTGATGTGCTGGGTAAAGTTTACAAGAAGCTCTGATTTTTAAGCTGTTTGTTGGAAGTGAAAAAAGTAAGACACTCAGTGTGTGAAAGGAATTATGCTGTCAAACATTTTAGTTTATGTACTTTGTAATTAGTGCATTATAATACACTATGCTTTTCATACTTCTTAGTTTCAAAGTAAAATTTTGGTGCATATGTGATTTGTCTTAAGGAGTTGAAGTTGTTATGAAGGAAGAAGCAATCAGTATTATCCGGCACTTCAGCATTCTGTAATAGTATCCTTTGGAGTTGTACAGAAGGACTTTGGGCCAATACAATTACAGTCTCTCCTAAGCATCTCTCTGATTAGTTTATAATTGGTCCTCCCTGGGAAACAATTGAGCAAATGCTAAAGGGCTTGATCCAAAGCATCCATTGGTCTAAATATGAGTTTCTTGTTATTGAAGAGACAGAGTCCTTTTGGTGGGAGTTTTTACTTTCTTGTAGGAAAGAGCTGTAACAAAGTATTATTTGTATTTATTATTTAGTGTGAAAAACGAAGTTCACTCCTGTAAAATTTTAAAAAAAGGTTTAATAAAGACAATAAGAGACATAAAATAAAGCAAAGAGTTACAGCTGGGTGCCTTGGCGTGCTGCCAAGAGTACACCTGGTATCTTGGGAATACCCTTTTTATCCCATCCTGCTGTGAGGGTTTAATGCATATTCAAAGCATGTCCCCTCCCTGGTTCCGCCTTCTTAGAACATGCTCTGTATGGTTTTTATTTCTGCTGGCCAGCATTTCTTTTGCTGGTCATCATTATTCTAGCTGATCAGCATTATTTTTGAGTTTGGTTTCCTTTCTTCTGCAAATGGTCAGTGTTGATAACAGTCCAGGCCTCTCATCCTTCTGCTGAGGGCAGCTGGGCTTCATATCCTTCCCCCGCTGCCAACGGCCTGGTCCTGGCTGCTGATAACAGCTTGGTCTCTATTTCCTGCTGCTGATAACAGCCTGGTTTCCACTGTCCTTCCGCTGGAAACAGCTTGGTCCTCCCATTGTCCTGCCTGTTGGAGTTATCTTGCCATGTCCAGATGAAACATATCCCTACTGTTCAGAATTCCTTTCTAAGCCTATAACTTGCTAAGAGAGAGAAAAATATGGCAAAAGCATATAGCATATAACATTTATAATAATACTTATGAAAAGCCAATATTTACAATATGAATTCACAACATTTAGTAACAGTATTTTTTATGAAAAAATCCATTTACATGTATCAGTTAATTTCAGTTAAAAACCCCAAAATACTGTTTTTAATACTAAGTCTGAACCTCAGCAGTCTAGAGAATAGGGAGAATAGGAATTCTTTTAACTCAAAATGCTTTCAGTCAGTTGAACAAGAAGTTTATTTCAGCTGTGGAATGCACTGCAATGCATGCTGTGTCTGACAAGAAAAAAAGGCCAATCTGCCCAGAACATGATCCTGAAAAGTGAATGGTTTGTCATATGATGGTTATGAAACTACTTTTCCCCAAGCAACTGGTATGAGGGTGGGAGGTGATGAGTTTTGAAACTTAATAGATGTGCCTGAATTAAATTTGTGGGGACAGCATGCACAATATGGAAAGCTGGAAGGCAGAAGCACAAACAACTTACTTTTTCAGCAAGTGACTTTTCTAAGACCACTGCTATGAAAGGTCCCAGCTGTTTCCTCTGTGAGATTGAATGCCTGACCACTGTCCCATTTTCTCCCCCTGCACCTTGCTTAACTTGCTTAATCTTGATTCACTGGGGAAAGGTGAAGGCACTAAAAATGTTCATTGACATAGCCCAAAGTCCAAAAGGGGAGTATTTATAGTGTAGCAATCTGCTGAAGTCTCCAGAACCTGAAAAACTGTGAAGGCTACAGAAAAAGAAGTAGTGTGTCTAGAGTGGGGATGAGGCAAGGTTATTATAGTATGAGTAAGATTATTATATGTGCTTTGTGACTGATGAAGATTTTCTAGTTCTTCTCCAAATTATTTTTGGGTTTTCAGTTTTTTCCGTATTCTAATTTGGTTCCATTTGTGTAGCACTTAACTGATCACTTGTGAATTTGGAAGCATAGGTCCCTGAGTTCTAGACAGCTTAATTTAGTTTCTCAAATTTCTCAGGTGATGTTTGAGCTGGTATTTGAATTGTTTAATAGGGGTTAATTAATAAAAGCAGTTTTAATAATCTCCCAGTGTCTGGCTTTCAAGTACTTCCTCATGATCAATGAAGTCACATTTTCAGAAAACTTGAGTCAAAATAGCTGTTACTCTTTCTGTTCTGTAGACTTTCTGAGGCCACTAAAAATATCTGATAGATTTTTTTTTTCAAACTGAAATTATATACCTGCAAATTATTCTTTGTTTTAATTATAATTATCTTCATGGAGCTTGTTTCAAGTTCAAATGATGACTTCCCTTCATTTAAAGTGTACTTTAAAACCAGGAAACTAGTTTTTCTTGTTTTGGGGAAAAAAAAAAAAAGAGACTTTTAATATATCCATGGGAAATAGTAGAACCAATACAAGGATAAAGATTTAGATCTTCAAAGTCAGTTTCATAAAACTGTTCCTTCTCTGGATTAAATCTTTATTTTGATCATATTAACCTTCTGTCTCCTCTGACCTGTGGTCCTGCTCAAGCCACCAGTGTTAAGCTTGCTCACTCACGCCAGTGCCACCCAGCATATGCTCTGGAAACAAGCACTATTCCGGCCTTTGACAGGAGAGGTCCCTCCGTGCTCTGTGCTGGGATCCCTGTCCTCACTCCAGTCTCTAAGGCCACAGGTCAGAGACACCCACATTCCCAGATTTGCTCCAGTGGCTGGTACTACATTCCATTCACATGCAGGCACCTGCAGGTCCCCCCAGGTACCTGACACTGAGATCTTGCAGCATGCACATGCACAGGACAGTGCAAGCAATTATGCAAAGAGGAAGATAAGAGAATTTTTAATAAGGTGCAACAAGATGAGACAGACTATGGCCATCAGGTGCAGGACTAAGTCAGATGAGTGGCACTACTTTATAGACAGCTGGACCCCTTTGTATCCTTTCTATCATTTCTCTGTTTCTCCTTGCTCTCCCTTCCCCAGCTTGTTCCTCCACAGCTCTATTGATTCCCTCACTCCACATAGTTCAGGGCCCTGGATTTGCAGATGGACCAGAGTACCCCTGAGTTTGGAGACTGACTAGCTGAAAACTCCAGATGAGGTTTCTGTCAGGGTGATGGCTGTAGTTTTATGATAGCTCAGCAGCTACTGTGACTGGCAAGGTTAGTTTACTGTGACTG